GCTCTTCCAGAGGACCTGGGTTCAGTTCCCAGCACACACATGGCAGCTCACAACTGTCTGTAACTCCAAGATCTGACACTCTCACACAGACATACATGCAGGCAAAACACCAATACACATAAAATAAAAATTAATAATAATAATAATAATAATAATAATAATAATAATAATAATAATAATAATAAAATCAGTTCTAGGCCAGCCTGCACTAAAAAGTGAGACCCTGTCTCCAAAGGAGAGACAGAGGAAGCAGTGTTATAGGAGTAAAAGGGGTGGGTGGATAGCTGGAAAGATGTTGTAAACAGAAGATGGCAGGTACCTGATTCTCCTTCTTGGGGCCTTTTGCAGAGGAAGGTGGAAGGAGGGCCATTGAGGCTTTAGGCTCCAGCCCTACTTTAAACAGATCTTTGGAAGAGTCTTCCTGCTTAACTGTTGAGGTAGGGGTGTATATACACAGAAAGTAGAAAGATAAGGCAGGCATTCAAACCAGATAGATGTTTTGGTAGACACTGAAGTATTTGTAGTTTCCTGTTCTGGGACTGCAGAGGATTTTTGAGTAGGGTTTTGTGGGGGGCTGGGGGTATGTGATTAGAGTTCCTACTTGGCCTTCTGAGAAAATCTATAGATTGTGAGTGAAGACATCAGCACTGAGGAGAGAAGGTTCAGTAGCAATGTAGTATAGAAATGACAGAAACTTAGTAAATAGTTATTAAGATTTTGCTTGATTGCATGGGAGTGAATTCTAGTAGCCTCTCACAGATCTTCTGCTGACTACACACAGTGCCTTTTGTTACTGTGTTTTATCAAGAAGATGTAAAAGAGGAGTGAGACCTTACAAGCAGGAGAACGTTGAGCAGCAAGAGCAAGTGAGAGATTTAGTTGCCGTCTGCCTTCCTTGCAGGGCATGGTAGCAGTGTCCGGCAGCTTGTCCGTGCTCCTGGATTCAATTATCTGTGCTCTTGGCCCTTTGGCATGCCTGACCACACAACTACCTGAATTGAACGGCTGTCCCAAACAGGTCTTGGTGAGTTTTTGTTGTTGTTGTTGTTTTCCTTAACTTTTTAGAGCTGGGGCCTTTGGGAGCCAGAAAGCCTCCTTAATGAGCATACCCAGCACTGCTCCTGAGGCTTGATAGCACGTGGCACTTCTATCACATATTGTCCTACAGAGCATGACACTGTATTATCAACTGTATGCTATGGTTTCAGTGAAACTAGAAAACGTGCCACCTCCACAACAGTACTTTGGAGAGAATCGGTGTGGTCTAGCCCTTGAGGGGCCGCAGCTCAAAGGCAGTCAAGGGACTCCTCCCTACTGCCGGGTCTAATGTGAGGCGTGAGTAAAGAAGCTGGCATAGCTGACAGCAGCATGCCTGTGTCTCTAGCCACTCTCCCCCGAACGGGACCTGTCTCTGGGACCACAGTGAGGCACGCCACAGCTGAGCCCTTTCTCCTTGTTTGCAGTCAGACACGCTGGACAACATTGCATACATCATGCCTGGACTGTGACCTCCGAGAAGCCTGGGGGAACCTGTCTACCCTTCACTAGTTCATGTATATATGACTGTTCCAGATCCTCCACTGACCTCTGGGTGTAGGTTTTAAATTTTTATATCTATATATACATATATATAATGTACAGTATATACATAGGATTATAACTACTTCGCTTTTAATAATTTTATGAAATGGCAAGGGTTTAGATAAAAAGGAAACTTTGGCATGAATGTGGGCTTGGAATTATTTTTTGTGTAAAAAAAATCTGCCTTAAAAATCAGTGTGATTTGGGGACTAGGGGCTTATTCTGGGTACCATGTGTATCTCCTTATAGACAGCTAAAATGTGATTTTTTTTTTTTCTCTAAGCTTGGTTGTACCTCCAGACCCATCACTGACCATTTGCCTTACCTGTCTTATAATTGGAAATATAGTAAAGATTATGGGAGGAGGCCAGATGACTACAAACTATTTGACTCAAAGAGACCTGGGGGGAGGTGGAGGGGACTCATTCCAATTCCTACTAAAGAGGATCTGTGTCTCCAATTTTGTTGTAACCGTTGGTACCACAGTCATTGACACTACTGATAGCCTCAGTTATGTGATTCTTGGCAGCGGAGAAATACCTTGGAGAGGCCAGAGCTGTTGGTGCCGCCTGTTGAACCTGCACTGGCTGGCCAAGAAGGCTGGGTCTGTAAAAACCAAAGCTGTGTCTTCTGTTGGCAGCATTGGTTGACCACTAAATCCTGAGAGATTCTGCAGCTTCTTGGTTCTGCTCTGGTTCCCCTGGTGGGCAGATTGTGCTCTGCATTCCACACACAATCACAAAGGAGTCCTCTGTTCTCAGTGGGGTTATCTCTATGTGCGTGTGAGCGTATATTTTAATTATGTGTATTTAACTCTCTAGAATTTTTAGATTTTAATTTATCCTGTAAATTTCTGTATATATAATTTAATAACAAGCCTCCACCAGCAGTGGCATGTGGAGCTACAGACTTGTCATGTCTTCATGTCTGTCTAAAAGCTCCAAGTCATCCATATGTTAAGGTGTTATGATTCAGAAAGGAGCTTCATGGCCTTCAATAATGTTAGGAAAGTGAAATAGAAAGGAATGTCACAATTCCCAACTGCTCTTATTCCCAAAGAACCAGACCTGCTTCCCTGTTAGAAGACAGTCGAGCACTTCAGGGTTGTTTGGAAACTTGGTGTGAGATCCCTTTCCATGCTTTCTTCCTCTAGCCTAGATGGAACAGGGCAGCATCACAGCAAACTTTGCGGACCATGTAACCAGCTGCCATCCTGTTTAATTCCTTCCCCATAGCCTTACTGTGAGCTTCTCACAGGTGTTCTGGACTCTCAGTCCCTTTTTCAGATCAGAGCAGTTTTGAGATTTAATCTAGGAAATGGAGAAGGAAACAGGAATATGTGGAATCTGAAATCAAGAAGAGCAGAAATTAGCCGGGCGGTGATGGCGCATGCCTTTAATCCCAGCACTTGGGAGGCAGAGGCAGGCGGATCTCTGTGAGTTCGAGACCAGCCTGGGCTAGAGTGAGTTCTAGGAAAGGTGCAAAGCTACACAAAGAAACCCTGTCTCAAAAAAAAAAAAAAAAGAAAAGAAAAAAGAAAGAGCAGAAATTTAAATTTGAGTTAACAGGTCAGAACCTCATTTGAACCTACAGAAGTTTCCTTTGAGAAACAGGGTATGAAGGAGAGGCCAAGAAGACACACATGGTACAGGAAGCAGTCAGTCCTCCATTGTCATTGCTCCAGACAGCAGGGAACTCCTGATGAGAACTGACTTTTCGTGTTTGTTTTCCTCTGAAGCCTAGCCCTGTTGTGTTTGTATTAAAGATTTGTACACATTTGTATAATAATCTGTAACTTGTGTATTTGGTACTATTAGAGGAAAAACTTTGGATTCAGGCCTTCTTGCTGTTTTTATATCATTGTTTTATTTTGTTTTTTTTTTTTTTAAATAAATCCTAGTGGTTTGATCCAAACCCTATTACAGTTGTATAAAGAAACAAAATTTTGTACTTATATTAAAGATCTCATTTTTAATATTTGTAGTCCGGTCTTAGCTGTCTTTTCCCTAATTGGGTTAATCATAGTTGCTGTAAAATTATAAAAAACCTGTCATTCACTCTATTCTACCCTAATTTTTCTCTAAAAGGGGATGGGGGCTGGAGAGATGGGTCAGTGATTAAGAATACTTCCTGCTCTTGCAAAGGACCCAAGTTAGATCCCAGCTCCAGAGGATCAGGCACCCTTTCTAGCCTCCTTAGGCACTAGCACACAAGTGCATATACCCACACAAAGATACACATACATATACATAATTAAAATTAAAAAATTTTAAACCAAATGCTGAAATAAAGGTCAAGTTTTCATATTCCTACCTATCCTGGGTCTAAGGCTCCCAAATATCATTTGTATATTGTAAAACTAGAGAATCTGATAATTGTGGCTGTAATGCCTGGCTAATGAAACCATGTACATTATTGTATTGGCCTAAATCAAGTATCCATTAATTTTGTCAGGGTTGCATGAAATACTGTGCTGAAAAATATACAGTTCATGTCCCATGAGCTTCCGGAGTCTTGTCTGTAAAAAAAAAAAAGTGATGTCACCTCCCTGTCTCTGAGTCTACAGCCAGCTGGCCTAAAGTTTGGTAATATTATGAACATTGAATATATGGAAATTTGACCTTTCATGGTTAAAAAAAGTTAATGGAAATACAAGATGTTAAAAATTGTAAGTAGCAAAATAAAACTTATTAAAGGCTGAGTTTTATGGTGCACAACTATAATTCCAACACTCAGGAGATCTGAATTTGAGACCAGCCTAGGAAGATTATATCAAAAATAGGTACAGAGCACTGGCTTGGTTTGAAAAGTTGTGGTCTGTCCTCTGTACTCACCATGACACACACAGTAAAAAAAATTTTAAAATTTAAAACATGTCTTATAAAGATATATCAAGGAAGAAATCACTGAATGCCTACTATTGAGTGATTCACATGTCATCTTAATACTCTCAAAGCATTATGGGTATTGTCCCCCTTTACAACTGAGGGGAACAGATGCAGAAAAAGTACTTTTCCCATTTGCCAAGTAAAAACAGAGGCCGGTGAGGTGGCTTGCCAGAGTCCTGGGTGTAGACTTGAGTTCATTCTCTGTCTCAAGGGAGCACAAACCCAGGCCCTTGCCTCTTGGCTACACACAAGGTGGTTCTTGGAGCAGGGAGACATCAAAAAGAAATTTCGAGTCTGACAGAGTCAAGGAGCCTGTCACTCAGGGCTACGTCTCCAGGATTGAAGGCTAAGACACTGATACAAGCCCCAGCTGTATAACTAGACCCAAGTCGTTCCCTGGCCAGAGACCCAGTTTCCGGATGTGAAGACTTCTAGGCTCCGCCGCAGAGCAAGCGGAAGCCTTTCAGGGGCGTGGCTTAGAGGGCGGGGCCTCGTGGCTGTGCGCCAGAGCCCCCGCCCCGCGTGCCGACCAGCGGGTCACGTGACGGGTCGGCGGCGCCGGCGGTTGCTGTCACCTGATTCTGGGAGCTGGTGGCAGCGGCAGCGGTGGCAATGGACTTTCTCCTGGGAAACCCGTTCAGCTCTCCGGTGGGACAGCGCATCGGTGAGTCCCCGAAGCCGCGCGCAGCCCCTCCCCTGTGTGCCGCTCTGGCCTGGGCCCTGGGACCTGTCGGAGTCCCCAGTCTGGGGTGGGAAGAGGTAGGCGAGGCTGGCGCGGCGCTCTTGGCTCCGCCTCCCTATGATTCACCCTGATTGACAAGATCAAGGGCCAACCAGAAGCCTCATATGGGGATTGATGCTGAGGGTGACCAGTAGGCAGGGGGAGAGGGCGGGTCCAGGCGTAAGTGGCTCAACCAATGCGTGCGTACTGGGGTCCAGAGTAGAGGGAGAAAGTTTGGGTTAAAGGGACTGCTGTGATGAGCGGGCGTTGGGCCCCGCAGACGCCGGGCGCGCGCAAGCTGAGGGCCCCTCCCGGGTTGGCCGCGCTCAGGTCATTCTCCGCTTCTCCGGACCCTCACGTTCCCGGACACCGGAGTGTCTGGGCTCGGCCGCGCCTCTGTCCCCGCGGTCGGGAGACTCGGGTTTGTGTGACGTCGCCCCGGTGGTGTTCCTCGCCCGTAGTTAAGGGACGGTGGCCTGGCCTTCCTGGGCTTGCTTGATCATTAAATGCATTAATAAGCGCAAAGCACTGAGGATGCTGCCTGACACATAACTAACGCTTGTCGTTGTCACTGCGATACCACCTAGTGGGGCTGGAGCCCGTGGGAAGATGCCGGCTCCCAGAACCTACTCTCGGGCGGAGGGCAGGCGACATTTCCCCAGGAATGGGTGGTCTGGGTATGACAGACACACACACACACACACACACACACACACACACACACACACACACACACACACACACTTCTTGCCCGAAGGGTCCCAACAGCATTGTGAAATTCTTTTTGATGGCTTTTCGCCTTGGGTTCAGACTGGGAAGCCTGGATCTTTTAGTTAAGGCATTCTTTGCATTCTTCCTGCCTTGGAAGCCAAGGCTTCCCCAAAGTCGTTAGCCCAGCTCTGTGTTGTAACCGCCACTGCGGCTGTTAGTAGCTCTTCTGAGGTTCTCATCAGTTCCCTGCAAGGGACTGCTAGTGCCTGAAATCCAGGTGCTTCACAAAGCCCCACCCTGAATCCTTATTTGGGACCTGGAAAAAGAAGGCAGCCCTCTTTACATACTTGCTACATAAAAACAAGGAAATTAGTCTGGCTGTAAAAACCAGCCACAAAGTCCTGAGACTTTCTGGATAAGCTTATTTGGGCTCAGTGTGCTTACCAGCTGTTCAAAACTCAACATCTCTTCGTGCCCTGAAAGGTTGCCTTCCTTGGGCAAGAAATACTTCTGGACAGACAGAATGCTGCTACATCAGTGCACTGGCTAAATCTCACTGCTGGACCCTCTCTGCCTTGGGGTTCATGTCAGATTAGGCTAGACCCATCTGAGATTCAAGCTGGCAGCTGTGGGGTTCTCAGTAGTGCTCTTTGCAATTGGCTGGGAGACCACAAATTTCAAAACCTCCCACCATAAGCAGTAGCTCACACCTTTAATCCTAGCACTTGGGAGACTAAGACAAGAGGATTGCCACCAAGTCCCAGGCTAGCTGGACTACAAAATGAGTTTCAGGGCAGCATGAGCTGCAGAGTAAGACCCTGTTTCAAAACAAAAATACCAGTCTGCACAGTCCTGTTACTGGGGGGGGGGGGGGGGGGGGGTTGAGTTCTACAAAGGGAAGGTGGTGAAGACTGAGACTCACCCAAGAAGCCAGTGAATTGATAGCACAACTGAAATGAGCCTTCCAGGGCTACTGAAGAGGCTGTAAAAGAGCCTGGTGTGGTGGAGCATGTCTATAATCCCAGCACTCAGGAGGCTGAAGCAGGAATGTTTTGAGTTCAAGTCCATCCTGGTCCACATAGAGAGCCCTACCTTGAACAACAATATCAGTGTTCCTTATGTACTCTTCTATGTGTAGAGACAGAAGTACTGGAAGTGTGTGTGTGTGTGTGTGTGTGTGTGTGTGTGTCTGCCTGCCTGCCTGCCTGTCTGTCTGTCTGTCTGCCTGTCTGTCTGAGACAGAGTCTCAGTGTTGCCCAGCTTGGCCTGGAACTTAGGGACTCAAGCAGTCCTCCCCATCAGCTTCCAAGTATCAAAGACCGTGCACCTGTACCAAAGGGCCTAGCTGGCTGTGATGATCGATGGCCAGGTTTTAGCTGTTTGAATTCCTGAATCTAGGCCTCTCTTTGCTACAGCAGTTAAATGGTGTCTTCTCAGGTCTGACCTCATGCCCTGAGAGTAGAGTCTTGTATGGTTGGCATACTAGAGGACAGCAGTCACTAAATGGTGCTAGTCAGGGCCCAGTGTCACTGGCCTCGCAATTCACATGCAACCTGATGCTTGCTGGTTTCACTGTCTGGAGTGTCTGCTTCTGTGAGGAGCTAGGCTCATCCCTTAGAGCACTAGGCACCATCACCTCCTCCACTGAGGTCTTTCCTAACTCCTGCTTCAATCTCTGTTCTTTTATTCTCTTGTCACTCTGCTTCCTGTAGGCACAAAACTGCTCTCACCTCAAGGGAAATCACAGATAGTTTATCCCTGAGCCAAATATGAATTGCTGTGACCCAGGAACACAGATTCACATCACCCCAAATAACATGTTCCAATGTGGGAAATAGTTTCATGACATTTTTGTAGCTACAGAACAAAAGCAAACCAGAAATCAGGCAATTGGGTTACAGCAAAGCATCAAAATCTATGCTGCATGTCTCAAGTGCCAGCTGATGACATTCCTAGCTCTTGGGTTGGTGGACGCTAGTTTTCTATTAACTTTTTCCAAAAGGTGTTACCTGATAGTCACAGATTTTCTGGGAACTTCAGTTTGTAAACTTAAACTCTGTTGCTTGAGAGTAGTTATAAGAAAGCTGGTTCCCAGAGAGTGCCTACACAGTGAGAGGGTGTGGGGAACATCAGCTCCTGCTATCTCACCATCATTTACTGTTTCTACCTCCATCATACTGATACACCACCATCCCTGCTAGGCTTGACTTGAGACCAGGAGTTATCCCTTCTTTTCCTGGTGCCTCAGGTGAAAAAAGAAAAAAAGAAGGACATGACTACTCCTAGGTATGGTGGAGGAAAAAGTTTATTGTAGATTAAAGGGAGAGCATAGCCAGTGAGGCGGGCCATGTGGGGGTGGTAAGGGAGAGAACACACACACACACACACACACACACACACACACACACACACACACACGCGCACTCGAGTTGGAGCTGTCCTTGGATACCCAAAGCCTACCCATGAGCCCATAGACAGGAATCAGAAATGAATGACCAGCATCAGGGCTCTGAGGTTTTTTTGGGGCAGATGGGCTAGAAACCCACAAGCTAGGCCATGTTGTAGACACTGGGCTGGGTTAGGAGTGATGGTATTGGTCCCTGTCTACTGCTGACTATTGCAGTTCTGTCTCACATCCCCATCTGTAATGAAACACAGGGGCATCCCAGTCCCTCGCCTTCCCAAAGGGCTGGTGAACAGCAGTTGAAAGGTAGAGGGAATGGGGAAGGGTTAGTACTACAAGGCACAAAGGGGCAGTGTGGTGTTACAAGAGGCAGCCTACCCTGGACCTGTCAGAGATGGACCAAATACCTTGTTCATAATGAGCTCCTCTGCCCACTCTTGGTGAAAGGTAGAGGTCAAAGGAGAGGGGGCCTCAGAGGACTCTTACATCGGCTGGCAGGGTGGACTAGACCAGGCTTACTCTACAAAGGGCCACACAATCAATCCTAAAGGCTTAGGAAGGCCATATGGTCTCTGTTAAACACTTCAACAAGGCTATTATTGCATAAGAGCAGCCAGAGACAATAGGTAAATGAATGGGCGTGGTGATGCTCCAGTAAAACTTTATGGGCCATGGAATTTGAGTTCATGTCATTTCCATGTGCCATTAAGTATTATTCTTGTCGGGTGTGGTGTTGCATGCCTTAAATGCCGCACTCAGAAGGCAGAGGCAGGCAAATCTCTGTGAGTTCCAGGCCAGCCTGGTCGACATAGTAAGACCCTATCTCAAAACAATGTCTACATAGGGCTTCGCCTTGGCTGGACAAATACTAGTAAGGCCCAAGGTGACCTTGAGTCAGAACTCTCGCTCTGTGACCTGGAGTAGGTTATTAACCTCACTATCTTCTGGTTCTTCATCTGTAAAAGGAGGCTAATAATAGCACCTGTCAGGTGGGATTGCTGTGTAATGTGTGGCATTTGAAGCACCTGGACCGATGGCTGCCAGACAGGAGGAGTTCACAGCTGTTAGCCATGGGGACTGTCATTGGTGGTGTTCCTAGGGCACACTTAATGACAGAGTTAAGGTAACAATGCAGGGCCCAGACTCCAGTGCAGCTTTTCTGTTGGTCTTTGTGTCCCTGGGATATGAGCAGTCACTGGCTGGGTGGCAGCACATTCACAGGCAGGTCAGGTTTCAGGTTCTAGGGTGAAGCTGGTTCTCCTGGGGATAGGGCTCAGCCTGACTGTGGACTGAACTGCTGAATAGGTTTTGTTCCCACATGGAGCACTGAGAAATAGGAGTAAAGTCCTGGATTTCTGCTCTCAGAGGGTGGTGTTTGGGCAGCTGAACTAAAGCCCTCAGTGTGGAACTCTCTTGGGGCTGCCACTCCATAAGGAGCCTGGGGATTCAGGACACTTTAACTCTTAACCCTCTGATGAAGGAGGTCCTGATCTAGGCCAATACTCTCACATTGCCACATTCATCTGCCACCTTTTAACCTTTGTATCTTCATGCCTCCTTTGTTATTATTTTCATGGTGTTTTCCTTTAATTGGCTCACCCACTCATTTATCCCCATCTTTCACAATTAGGCCCACAAAGTCATGACAGCAAGCCCTTTACCCACTGAGCCATCTCATCATCCTGGTGAAGGTAAATTTTAGATAAGATTAGTAATGAAATAGTAGACCCTGACAGGCATAGATTGCCCTCTATAATGTGGACGATCCCTACCCAATCAGTTGAAGACATTCCTGGAAAGACTGACATCCCCAGAGCAAGGGAAACCC